GTAGAATATTTTGGAAAAGGATAGCAATAATGGTGGCACAACAGGAAAAAATGTAGTCCGTGAGCTGTAAATGTGGAAGTTGTTATGTTGGTGAATGTCTTGTTTATGTTTTCACCACAATAAAAGTAAAAAAAAAAAAAAAAAAAAGAGTAACAAAGTACTATGTGTTGGTGGGGGGGATAACTGGAAGGACATATACCAAAATTGTGGCTATGCCTACATGGTGAGACTTGAAGCGAGTCAATCTTCTTTTCCATCCTCTCTCCTTCCTTCCTTCTTTCCTTTCTTTCCTCCCTCTCTTTTTCTTTCTTTCCTCATTCCTTTCCTCCTTCTTGCTCCCAATTTATTTCTTCTTTTCTTTCCTTTTTAGTTTCTCTGGGTTTCTTTTCTATTTATTTTTTAACATAATGAACATGTTCATTTTGTAAATTGAAAAAGGAAAAACATTATCCAATACTGTGTGATAAGTGCTGTCTCTGATTAAAGGTAGAACGCAGCACTGTGAGAGCATAGCTGGGCACATTCAGACAATTATTAGCAGTTAGCAGTGACTTGTATGGGTGTGGTTGAAGGCCCAGGGAGATGAAGCTGTGGTGCATTTGTGACCTTGTTTCCCTTGACCCTCCTCTGACAGGTGGAAATGCTGGAGAGGAAGTATGGAGGCTCCTTCCTGAGCCGCAGGGCTGCCAGGACCATCCAGACAGCATTCCGCCAGTACCGCATGAACAAGAATTTTGAACGCCTACGCAGCTCAGCTTCTGAGAGCCGTATGTCCCGCCGCATCATCCTTTCTAACATGCGGATGCAATTCTCCTTTGAGGAGTATGAGAAAGCACAGAACCCCGCGTACTTCGAGGGCAAGCCTGCCTCGCTGGACGAGGGTGCCATGGCTGGTGCCCGGAGCCACCGGCTTGAACGAGGGCTCTCATATGGAGGATCCTGTGGTGGGGGCATTGATGGTGGTGGAAGCTCTGTCACTACATCTGGAGAGTTTTCTAATGATATCACAGAGCTGGAGGACTCCTTCTCCAAACAGGTCAGGATCCCATGCCACAGTTACTCCTTTTACTTTTAACCTGTATTCCACACTGAAAGAAGTTGAACAACAAGCATTTAATAAAAATAAATAGCTACAATTTGACTGGGGACTGAAAATTATGAGAAAAAAAATGCAAGACAAAAAAATGTAGCTAAAACAATCAAATTAAAAATCTGGGTGTACAGAACAAATAAGAAAATAAAATTCCTCACTATTTGAAAGTTGACACACTATCAAACTAAGGCTTAACTAACAGTGAGCTCCTACTATATGCCAGGTGCTGTGTATGCCTCCTAACAGACCTGCAAGACAAGAATTGTTATCCCCATTTTGCAGAGGAGCAGACTAAGGCTCTGAAAAGTGGAGTGACTTTCCAAAACTGAATTGGAACCAAGTTCTGTCTGATTCCAATGCCCATGCTCTTTCCATTATATAACTCTGCCATGTACCAGGCTCTGTACTGGGGCACTATAAAGAGGGATAGTTGAGCTGGCCATGGTCCCTGTTCTCAAGGATGTTCCAGTCCAGTAGGAAATGGCAAACATGTACCCATTACTGTCTCCTGAAATAGTTTGTGCTCAGAGCCCTGAGAAAGGATCACATACAGTACTGTGGGAACCCAGAGAAGGGAGGAAATTTTCTTCTGGGAAGACCCGAGAAAAGGCTTCTTTGAGAAAACAGAATTAGAGCTGGGTCTTATCAGATAGAAAAGGCTTAGCAAATTGGTGACAGTTGAGAGGGTGTTGCTTGGATAGGCACTGCATCAGCAAAAGCATGGAAGGGTGGGACTGTAATAGGCAGTGATGGTGGTGGTAAGTCATTTTAGACTTGGGATTTCAGGCATACGTGCCCAGATTTAAATCCCAGTTCTGGCATTTCCCACCTCTGTGGCCTGGAGCAAACTGTTTAATCTTGCTGAAACACAGTCAATAAAATGGAGATAAATCTTTTTAGAACTGTTTTGAAGATTCAATTCAACTAGGTAATACATATGAAAGCACCTAGTACATGGTAGCTGCTAAGTACATGTTAGTTTCCTTCCTAAAACCATGGAGGTATTTGGTATAAATTGTTGAATGAATGAATGAATGAAGCTTTATAAGAAAAGCAATCACTGTGCTCTAACTGCTGGGATCTGGCCCAGCCATCAGCCTGGGCATACATCATTGGAACTAATGAAGGAAGGGAGGGTAGAAAGGAGAGAGTATTGAAGGGAAGATCTATATAATTCATTCATTCATTCATGAAATAAACATTTAATTGAATATCTGTTCTTTGCCAAGCAATGTGTTGAGCTGAGCTAAAAAGAGAGAAACCAGGCCTGGACCCAGCTCTTAAGAAGGGAAATGGGGGGAATCACAGTGTGGTGGGGAATAGAGGAACAAACCTGTTCCTAGCTCTCAGTGCCATCCAAGTCTGCTGGGGGAGTGTGTTAGTTATCCATTGCTGCATAACAAATTACTTCAGAATTTAGTAGTTTAAAACTGAGCTTAAACAACAAACATTTATTATCTGGTAGCTTAGTGCCTAAGGCACTTGACTGCTAACCAGAAGGCTGGTGATTCAAACCCACCAGCCACTCCTCAGAAGGAGGGTTGGACAATCTACTTCCGTAGTGATACTGCCTTGGAAACCCGAGGAGGGGTCGCTATGAGTCGGGTCCAACTCAATGGCACATAACAACAACAACAACATGGTTTCTGAGGGCCAGGAATCTAGAAGTGGCTTGGCTAGTGGGTCTGGCTCTGGGTCTCTCATGGAGTTGCAATGTAGCCTGGCACTGCAATCTCTGAGAACTTGACAGGGGCCACTGGGTCTGCTTCTAAGCTTACTCACTTGGCTGCTGGCAAGAAGCATCAGTTCCTCACCACATAGGCCTCTCCATAGAACCACCCATATTGTGCCCCCTACCCCAGCAAGTGGTCTGAGAGAGAGCATCCAAGACAGGAGCTATTATAGTCTTTTATAACCTAATCTCAGAAGTGACACATCATCATTTCCATTTTATAGTATAGGCCACAGAGACCAATGCTGGTACAATGTGGTGTACAAGGATGTGAAAACCAGGGGAGTGGGTCATTACGGGCCATCTTGGGGGCTAGATATCACAGGGAGGCAGTTACCAGACATGGTCCAGATTCTCAAGGCTAAATATTATAGATTTCCTGAGAGAGAACCAGAGAGTTCTAGGTACACAGAGGAAGCTGGAATTTTGGTTTAACCTGAGGGATGACAGAGGCAGGAATGTGTATTTAATCAGACAGGAGGTAGCATTTGGCTTGAGTATACATGGACATGGAGGGACTGGTGTATCTGAGAAGAAACTTGTGGGCATTAGTCCCAGCTCCTATGAGCTCACAATGGCTCCCTGGGAGTTATGTTATGTAGGGAACCTGTGTGTGTTGGGGGGAGGGAATCCCTTTTCTTGGCTAATCCACCAGGAAAATTCTTCCTTTTCCCTTCCCTTCGTCCTTCATTCCCACCCTTCCATCACCCCACCATACTTTCCTTCCTCTTTCCTTCCTTTCTCTCCCTACTCCCTCACAGGTAAAGTCTCTGGCTGAATCCATCGATGAGGCCCTGAACTGCCATCCACCAGGGTCTATGCCTGAGGAGCCAGGGTCAGCCCAACTGGAGAAAAGGGAGTCAAAGGAACAGCAAGAGGACAGCTCCGCCACATCCTTCAGTGACCTACCCCTTTACCTGGATGACTCAGTTCCCCCACCATCCCCTGAACGACTGCCTAGCACAGAGCCCCCAACCCAGGGCCGACCTGAGTTCTGGGCACCAGCCCCTCTCCCGCCAGTTCCTCCACCAGTGCCACCAGGGACCCGAGAAGATGGTGGCCGTGAGGAAGGCACTCGCAGGGGTCCTGGTTGCTTAGAGTGCCGGGATTTCAGACTGCGAGCTGCCCACCTTCCCCTGCTTACCATTGAGCCTCCTAGTGACAGCTCCGTGGACCTGAGCGACCGCTCAGATCGCGGCTCTGTCCACCGCCAGCTGGTGTATGAGGCTGATGGCTGCAGCCCACATGGGACCCTGAAGCACAAGGGGCCACCAGGCAGGGCCCCAATACCACACCGACACTACCCAGCCCCTGAGGGCCCAGCCCCAGCCCCTCCAGGGCCCCTCCCGCCAGCCTCCAACAGTGGTACTGGGCCCAGTGGTGTGCCTGGGGGTCGGAGGTTGGGGAAGTGTGAGGCAGCAGGCGAGAACTCTGATGGTGGAGATAACGAGAGCCTTGAGAGCTCCAGCAATTCCAATGAGACCATCAACTGCAGCTCTGGCTCCTCTTCTCGGGACAGCCTGCGGGAGCCTCCAGCCACTGGCATCTGTAAGCAGACTTACCAGAGGGAGACAAGGCACAGCTGGGACTCACCAGCCTTCAACAATGATGTAGTACAGAGGCGGCACTACAGAATCGGCCTCAACCTCTTCAATAAGTATGTGATCTTCGTTCCACCCTCCTTAATCTTTCCTACCCTGCCACAGACACTTCGGCCCTTGGGACTGAACTCCAAGCATTAATCCTTGTTCTGCCATTCTCTTGTTCTATGGAATGGTGTTTCTCCCCAGCTGTTCAGGGAAGAGGACTGGCAACAGTGTGCCAGAGTAGAAAACCCCCAGTGCACCTAGGTTCTAGTCCTAGTACTGCCAGTGACTGGGTGTGTGATCTTGGGCAAGACGTTCTCACTCTCTTAGCCCCAGTTCACACTCTTTAAAATGGATTTTGGAACTTGCCTGCTTTACTTCCCTTATTAGTGTGTGTGTGTGTGTGTGTGTGTATGTAGGGGGCAATATGGGGTAGAAAGACCTCTCATCTGATTTTGGCCAGATTCACTGTGTAACCCTAAACAAGGTGTGTTCCTTCCCTGGGCTTCAGTTTTTCTTTCCAATAGCAGGGTATGTATATTTGAGGTGTTAGGAGGTGGAGTGGGACCAATGACTGTGACTGAGCTTTCTAAATGCCTGGTCTTGTGCCAGGTGCTTAGGAGTAGGGTGGGAGTATGACATTTGATTGGAAAATAATCAGAAAACATTGCTTTACATTTTGATAGCCTAATAAACACTGTCACCTACATTTAATTCTCATAATAACTTGTCAAGGTAGGTAGTGGTGTCTGCATTTTATAGATAAAGAAATTGAGGCTTGGAGAAGTAAAGAGAATTTCCCAGAGTCATACAACTGATAGGAGATGGATCTGAGACTCCTATAGCACCAAAGTCTCTTCCAAATTCTAATCTTGTGAAGTTTTAAGGTTCTGGGGTTTTGAAAATGGGAACTAGTGCCTTATAGACCCAGATTTCTGTGAAGTGGGAAACCTTGTCTATGCAAACATTGACAGAGGCTGGGCGATAACTACCTGGGTGGGACATGGAACATGGCTTAAAGTAACCTCTTCAATTCTTCCCAATTCTGAGGTTCTGTGACCTGGAGGGAAGGGCTTAGCCTGGAGCTCAGGACTTCTCTCAGGTTCTCATTAAATATTAATTTTCTTTTAATTGTGGTGTGGCCCTAGTAAAGGAGGAAGTTGGATTGAAGATACCTTGGGATTTTGAAACTCTGTGAAATGAGCAAGTGACTTCCTCTCCCTGGGCCTCAGTTTTCTCATCTGTACTATGAAGGGATTGGACCAAATTCTGTATTTCTTTGGTTCTCTGAGGTCATGATTGGGCCCAAAAGTAGTTCAAGATGAACAGTAGGCAAAGCTCCAGAAAGATAGTCATCTCATCTACCTCCCCTCTTTCTGCAGGAAGCCAGAGAAGGGTATCCAGTATCTGATTGAACGGGGCTTCTTGTCAGACACACCGGTGGGAGTGGCTCACTTCATCCTGGAGCGGAAAGGCCTGAGCCGGCAGATGATAGGGGAATTCCTAGGGAACCGGCAGAAGCAATTCAACAGAGATGTGTTGGAGTGAGGACCTCAGGATGGGCAGGCCGGGCCAGAGATTCCTGGAAAAGGAGAGCAAGAGGGAGGAAGGGGGAAGCCTGTCCCTTTTGTTCAGATAAACTTTAAAAACAGGATGAAGATATATTCCTGCTCCAAAGGATTAGGTCTAATCTCTCTTGGCCCTATAAAGTCTTCTGTGTGGCATAGGGCAAGGCATGCGTGTCCTATGGCCTGCTTTGGGCCTCTGTTTTCCCATTTCTGTCATAAGTGGGCTGATGGGAAAGACCTTTAGTAATCATGTGTACTTCCTGGATTTTCTGGGATGGATTCAATTTCAAACATTCTATCCTCATTATGCACTTGTTTGGACCATGGGTCCATATTTTAGAAGCCTATCAGTGGAGGTGTCTGTCCAGTCAAACAGGCTAGGGTGGGTCAGAGGTTTTCTGCAGAGGAATTAAGAATGCCACACCCACTTCTTTACTCCTCAGCTGTGTGGTGGATGAGATGGACTTCTCCTCCATGGATTTGGATGATGCACTCCGGAAGTTCCAATCCCATATTCGAGTTCAGGGAGAGGCCCAGAAAGTGGAGCGACTCATTGAAGCCTTCAGGTGTGTCTGTTCCCACTCCTGAAGCTACCTCTCCCTACTTCAGGGGGCAGTGTAGTATGTGTTTACAAATCACCTCATAGCTTCTTTACCATAAAACAGAAATTATAAATCCTATTTTGCAAGGCAGTTGTGAGGCTCAGAGGTAGTATATATAAAGTATCTAGCTTAGCATCTGGAACATAAGCATTCAGTAAGTGACAACAACCGCAATAGCAGCAAACATTCATTGAGCACTTACTGTGTATTAGGTACTGAGCTAGGTACTTTACGTGATTATTTCACTGAATACAAACAACTCTATGAGTTTAATGTTTCTTTTATTATTCTCATTTTGCAGATGAGGAATCTGAAGTTTAGAAAGGTTTAGTAACTTGCCCAGAGTCATACAATGAGTAAGTGGTAGAACCAGTATTTGAACTCCAACTCTATCCAGCCCCATGATCCATGAACTTATCCATTATATTCTACTATAAATGCTTTGAGAGTTAGGCCTGGGTATAAATCTTGGCCTCCACCACTTTGGAGTATTTAGAGGAGAAACAGAAGAGTTGATGAGAACTTGTTCCCCATAATGGGAGAAGGATTTGCTTTGCAGTCAGAAAGATCTGGGTTTACATCCTGGCTTTACCATTTACTAGCTCTATTACCTTGGGCAAGTTACCTCACCATCTTGAACCTCAGTCACTTCATCTTTAAAATAGGGCTGTTAATAGCTGCCTTGCAGGATTATGATGGGATTACATGAGACAGTGTACCTAAAGCCCCTGGCAAAGCTTCATAAAAGATAAAGATGATGATTTTTATGTGCTAGTCTTGGGGGAAAGTCTGAAGAGGACAGACAGACCCAAAGGAGTAGGGAGTATTTCTTGAAGGAAAGGGTTGGTGATACTAGAGCGGGAGGATGATGTGTATGTAGAGATTGCTGGTGCCTGAGCTTGGCTGTGGCCCTTTCTGCCCTGCAGCCAGCGGTACTGTGTGTGTAACCCAGCCCTCGTGCGCCAGTTTCGGAATCCAGACACCATCTTCATCCTTGCTTTTGCCATCATTCTCCTCAATACCGACATGTACAGTCCCAGCGTCAAGGCTGAACGCAAGATGAAACTAGATGACTTCATCAAGAACCTGAGAGGTAACTAGATCTCCCTGTCAGCTTTTCCTGTCCTTCACCTGCGAAGGGAAAATGGGTAAGGTGGTGGGAAATGGGAAGTATGAGAGATATAACATCATCTCCCTGAAAATCAACCTGAGATAATTGACTTTCTCCCAAGACTGGATATTCCCAGGGCATTCATTTTTCTTCATTCAAATATTCCTTTGTCCATTTATTCTTTCATGCACTGAACATTTTTTTTTTAAAAAAATTTAGTTGTGATTTGGGTGAAATTTTACAGAGAAAATTCATTTTCCATACAGGAGCTCACATACACTTTGTCTCATGACATTGACTGCAATTGCCCACAATGCAACAGCTCCCCTCCCACTTCCTCCCAATAGTTA